TGCTTTAGAAAAAGGCAGTTCAGTTTGTAATTAAAAATGCACTCTGTTTATTTACTGAAGTTTGCACAGCTCTCTAGCAACGTATCTTCTAATGTCCATCATTACAGTGCCTGTATGCTTGGAAATGAGTTGGCTGAGGGCTTTCAGAGAAAGTTCACAGCAGAGCTTTGTTCAGCTGTTGTTGTGATCTTTTTGCAAATGTATGGAACTTAAAAGTAGCTTTCTCACAGAAATTTACTTCAACACAATTCACGTTAAAAATTATTCCTCTTTTACCATCGGGAAATGAACGAGGGCTGTCTGGATGCTTTGCTGTGCAACCTGCTGTAGAGACCCCTGCTTTAGCAGGAGAGTTGAGCTGAATGGTCTCCAGAGGTGCCCTACAATGCTGTGATTCTGTGACTGTTTTAGGCTAATGAAAAATATCACTCGGTATGCCCACAATGGAGTACAGCAGAGAAGAGTTATGATTAAGAACACTGATCAAAATACGTAGTGCTTTGGCAATCAGTCAAGGTCTAGCAAGGAAGCTTTCCTTGGTATGTTGATATTTGTCTCTATATGTATGGGCACTGTATGTGTACGTATACAAAAGTAGCCTCCCGTGCGTGCATGTATGCGTAGAAATATTTTCAATTGAAACACATTCTGATATGAACTAGGTTTTCAGGCTACCACAAAATTAGAAGCCACAGGTAAAAGTCAGTTACTGTTACCATCATTTCAAGGTGAGAAGTAACAATTGATCTCCTGAGATTTTTGTTTCCTTATTAACAGAGATTGTGATATTTAATGGATATCTATGGATGAAGTCCATGGAAAAATTTCTGTGACTCAGTGACACTGGGATTTCTTCCTGTGTGTTCTAAAAGATCTCAGTAGCACATTGTCATGCCAGCGACTGGGTGCTTGTTTGCCTCCTTGTGAACAGTGTCACAAGGGCAGTAAACCTGCTCGTGCTGGTAGATTTGTCCTGGTTTAAACTCTTTTTTAGTTCTGGACCTGGTAGACAAAGAATTTGATTTTGAAAGTAACCCGGGGCAAATCATGCTCATTCTCTTCATATCCCTTATAAATGCATATTTTGCTTTACAAGTAATCTTTAGCTGATTGCTTAATACAGTTTTTGTTTCAATTTTCTCAGTATAGTAGACTAATAATAATCATTTTTCAAAAAGTGAATATAAATGACTTATATACTTTACATCCTATAAATGACTTACAAAGAGAAAAACGAATATAATTAGAATTACATCTCAGTGTTTTTTATATGTGGATACATGGCATGATCTTTATTCTCTGATAATTACTGCTATAATGAAAGTAAGGCCACGGAATAAGCTTCTACTGAGCTAGTAACTCAGTAGGACAACTTTGAGTTTAAACCAAACAAAACCAGAAACATTTTCTTCATAGAACTTCATAGAAGTATTTTAGTGAGAGTATACAGTGAATTGTGTAGTCAGGGTATACTTTTGGGGTTCAATCCAGATCTATACTATTTTGATCTTCCAAGAAAATCCTTAAAGCCAATTTAAGAATTTTGTCTTTCAGTGGCTAAGGAAAGAGCTTCTTATTTGAGAGTTTTCATCTATCTTATGTAAGTATATGTACAACAAAGTGTGGATGCTGGGGAGAAGAAACAAGTTCTGTGATCATATGTTTTTCAGTCCTCTTCACAGAGAGATGATGAGAGTAGCTGGCAGCAGTTCTGAGAACACAGAAGAGTCCAATTAATTTAATGATGTATAGCTAGGCAAATTATTCTTTTCTTTGTTACTCTTGGTGGAATGTTCCTTGGCTGTGGAGGAAAGGAGATGTTCCAATTCACATCAATTGTCCCTTTTGTTCAAGGACAGGTAGGACTGGTGCTATTTCCACAGCATTTGTAGGAGTGCTAAGAAAAGTGCAGGCATGTAAACAAAGCTGTGTACAATATGTGGATAAGGCCCTTGGATGTAAGCCCCAGTCAAGCTTACTTCTGTGCTGTGAAAAATGAAGAGTGGTTTTACAGCTGTCACCATACCAGAACATAGCTGTCTGCTCCCTGGGGGCCGCCAGGATGCCCACTTTGTGGGGGCAGGCTGGGATCTGCACTCAGCACAATTGCATGGGGCCAACCAGCAGAAAGCTGGATTTGAGTACACTCAAGCTGTGGATCTACAAAAGAGGTGAGCTAATCGCAAAGGATGCTGATGCCGAATTAAGTACATTCTTCACCCCACTTGCATCCTGCTGTCTACCTTGTACTGGCTGTGGTGTTTTTGCAGACTTCTGTGTGTTGATTCAGTCCAGCACAAAGTTCATCTGTACAAAAAAATAACGTAGTGGGAGCTTTTTGTTGGTGAGTCAGTGGCCCTTACGCAACTTGGATAAGCATCATGGTGTGTGGGAAGGAGAGAATGGCACCAGGGAGCCCAAAGCGCAGCAGCAGAGAAGGAAGAGGCACCTGGCCTTTTAAGGCTACTGAATTTTAGTGTAATACTTGAGTCAGTACAAACTAGTTCTGCTAGGATTTTTGTTCTCTGCTTTCAGCTGCGTTTCAGCTTTTTCACAAGCCGTCAAATATCTGCATAGGTGGTAGTATTTAATTAAAAGCTGTAATCGTGTCGTTTAAAGGAATGCTAACCTTCACTAGTCTCTCCCTGATGCAGGTACCCTTTCTGTCACTACGGTTGGCTCTAGCTGCTGGATTGCAAAATTGTTAATGTAGGATCAAGTTAAACAAAAGTAGATAGGAAGCCCCTATGTTTTTGCTATGCATTTCACTTAGTCAGATTTAAGTCATTTGTTAGTGACTAGCAGTACTTGCCATGACTTTCCTGTGAGCTTGCATTGGTTAAATGCAAATAACATATGCAGGATGCTAAACTATGGAGATTTTCTTGCGTACTTCAGGTAGAAGTCGAGAATGTTGCTGTTTTTTCTTCCTTTCTTTCTAAGCTGAGTCTCTGCAACTTCTCGACAACCTCTGCCAGTGCTCAGTAACCCGTTGTCAGAAAAACATTTCCTGATGTTAAGATATTACTTCCTGTGTTTCAGTTTGTGCTCCTTGCCTCTTGGCACTGGGCACCACTGAAAAAGCCTGACTCAATCTTTTCAGCTCCTTCTTCAGGTATTTATGGATGTTAAGTGGGCTCAGAGAAAGCCTTATCTTCTCTAAGCTAAACTGTCTCAGATTTATTCCGAGGTGAGTTTTTCCTTCAATCCCACTGCTCAGACATGCACATGAATAATTAACAAGGACTACGATACAGGCACTTGAGGCAGTAGTAACGCTATGGCCTGTCCTGTAGCTTGACAGAAGCTGTGACTTTGTTATTGCACTTAGAATTGCACTTTCTTTTTGTGATTTGCGGTAAATTTGAAATTGGTCTGTAAACACGTTGAATTTCAAATCAAGATAGCATTAAAAAAAATAATAATCAGGAAATGACATTCCTGACCTTTTAAGTGAGTTCATTTTTGTGTGTGTGATCTCTATGCTCTTTGTTTCATGCACTAGAGTAGATAAATGATTTGAAAAATATCTCTACAGACATGTTCTTTGTTCTGGATTGTGTGCACCTCTTGTTTCTCTACCTATCCACAAAGCAGATATGTGAAGATAAGGGATAAAATCCATTGTTTATTCAGTTCAGATTTTAGCTATTTTATTTTCAAATCTGAATGTACATAGTTGATAAACTGGAGAGTTTAAGATTTGTAGTTTTCTAGCATGGGCCTGGAAGTCTCTGCTATGCATGACAAAGAAGTAGGTGTTGGCATAGGATTTTAATCCTCTTGTAATTAAAAAGAGAATTCTCCATTGTGAACAGTTTTCTCTAGCTTCTGACCAGTCAAGCAGTTTTCTGTGACTTCTGACTGTTCCTGCTGTCACTGTAGGTGCTCAAAGCAAGCAGCAATATACATAATAGAGATATTTATCAAATCTTTAAGTTGGAGCTCCATACAAAGAGGCAAACTGCTGCCTTAAAGTGATACATGCAACGGAGAACTTCAATGGAAGTATATTGAAAATCTGAGCTTTAACAGTAATATATATATGTATATACACACACACACACACATATGTTACTGATATTGGGATAGTGTAATCTGGTATGAAAACATACGGTACTTGTTAGGCTGTAACAATGTCAAGATATTGCTACGCTGAAAACTTAATGAATCATTAAGGAGAGATGTTCATATCTTGGTTGTGATATAAATAAGACAGATTTAATTTGGGCATCATTAATTACCTTTAAGAACTTAGTGGAAGTGCCTGGTGTTCTTTTCTTAAAGACTTTGTTGTGATCTCTTCAGTTTAAATCTAGTGTAATTTGATTTTCTTATGTATATCATTTTGTGTGTACTCATTTAATAACTGAATATAGAATTGAATACTGAGGTCAGATTTATTGCTTGTTATGGCAATTGCAACTTTATAAATCTGTAGTTCACAGAGACAACTATGGTTTTTTATGACCTGTGTATTGAAGAACAAGTTTTTATGTCTACTTGCCTGATGCATGAATTCCACAGGGTTACCATCAGGCTAATATATTTCCTTTCCCAGCCCATCTTACCATCTAGTGGATGTGTGGTGGGATAGTTTTAGCAGGAGGCAAAGGAATCAAGGGAGTTGCTTTGTTTTTTTGTGTTTTTTTTTTTTCTTCATGCAATCCCTTGTTAGTTTTTTTTTCTTCCTGTTTTTGCTATCTAGAGGGAGTTTTTTTCTGGCTATTTTTGAACTGCAGTGTAACCAGCACTTTTTAATGGCACTTGAAATGAACAAGCACTTTCATGGGCAATGATTCTTTGACTAGCTTTTTCCTATGTGCTGTTACTAGAAGTATTAACTTAGAAAAATTCTTTCTTTGAAATAATGCTGCAGATTGTAATGCCAGGGTCAGGATGTGTAGTGGGGATAATATAAATGGATGCAAAACAGTTCTTTATAATGTTACTTTTGGAGTCAGTAAAACATGCTCTGTGTTTTCTCTTTGTTCTCACAGGCACATAATACTCCAGAGCTTCAAAATCAGAAGTAAATTCATCTGGACAGTTGCCACCTGCCTTCCTAAGTAGGTAAGCATACTAAAAACAGGAAAAGGGGCCTGACTACTTTCTTTGAGTAGCTGTAAACATCCCTCCCACCCCTTAAATTAGCATTTGTCATTTAGTTGTTTTGAAATGATGAACATAAGGGCCTTGCAAAGAAAGCAAGAATTACACTTGTTTTCTAATTTGCAGTAATTAGAATCATAGAATCACCTAGGTTCAAAATAATAAAATCCAACTATAAACCTGACCTACCAAGTCCCGTCACTAAGCTACATCCCTTAGTGCCACGTCTACACATCTCTTGAATGCCTCCTAGGGTGGAGATTCTACCAGGTCTGTGCGCAGCCTCTTCCAGTGCTTGGCCCTCATCCCATTGGGGGTGTAAATGTCCAATGTAAAACGTCCCTAGTGCAGCTTGAAACTTGTTTCCTTGAGCCCTATTGCTTGTCATCTGAGAAAAGAGAGACAGACACCCCTGTTGCAACATCCTTTCAGGTTATTATAGAGAGTGATGAGGCTTCCCCTCAGCCTCCTCCTCTTCAGACTAAACAACCTCAGTTTCCTTGGCTGCTTCTCATATGTTTTGTTTTCTAGTCCCCTCACCAGCTTTATTGCTTTTCACTGAACAAGTTTCAGGAACTCTGGGTCTTTCTTGTGGTGAAGGGTCCAAAAGTGAGCATAGTAGTTGAGGTGTCTTCTCTCTAGTGCCTATTGCAGGGGGACAGTTGCTTCCTTAGTTCTACTAACCATCTTATTCGAGTTGCAGAGCAGGATGCTGTTGGTCTTTCTCGGCTCAGTGCTGGCTCATGTGCAACTGTCAGCCAGCATGCACAGGTTGTTTTCTGCTGGTAGGCTTTCCATCCACTCTTCCTCAAGCCTGTCAGGCTGTGTGGGGTTGAGTGTCATGGAACTGGGCTTGGCTCATGTGACTAGACAGACCAGGTTACACTGCAAAGCTTCCCAACTTCGAGTAGATTGAGAGCCCTGCCTAAATTCATGTTGTCTCTGTAAGAACCGAGGGTGCATTTGATCTCCTTATCAATATAATTGATAAAAATGTGAGACAAAAATGACCGTGCTGCTGAGACCTGAGGAATGCCACTGATGACTGGCAACCACCTGGAATGAGCTCTGTTCATTTTGACTCTGAGCTCTGCCTTCCATTCAGTTCTTCACCCAATTAAGTGTAGCCAACCAAAGAAACCTAAAATTATTAACAACTAACAGTGTGCCTATTGCTTGTAGCAGCACAGAGCCATTGGACAATGTATTGTTATTCATAAAATTAATATTTATCTGTTCTTCGTAAAGCTTGAATACTAAGTAAGTTCCTGAAACCAGGCATATTATTGCAACGTTAAACTGCTGCAGCAGTTGACCTGTCACTGCAGAAGCTCTGTTTGGGGCACTCTTTTTTGCTTTTATATTTTTTAGCAGTTCCTTCTGTAGTGATAGAAGGGTACAATTCATTGTGAGGCTATAATGGAAGACCTCCATAGCAGTAACCTTGATGAGGACAGTGAAGTGAACCGTATGTTTGCTAAGTACATGTTATTTCACTGATTATCAGCAGCTGTAAATTGCCGTTTGCTTGCTGACTTCTTTCTGCTTTCTCCAGGAGGAAAGAGGGATTATCGGTGCCTGCCTCATTTGCTTCACCAAAATGAGATAGGGCATGCAGGAGAGAAGGGATAGTTTTGCAAGTGGAAGCTACAATGGTGAGTTGGACTTTGTCCTTACTTCCGCTGCAGAATTTCTCAGTAATACTGAATACGTTGTTTAAACCAAACTTTATGCAAATATTTCTACTGCTTTCTAAGTGTGTTACAAATAACATTTCCTTGGCAACAGTACTGGCTTGAAAAGCTTTTTCCGACTGCTTCTTCCTCCCTTGACATTTTTGGTCCACAGTACTACTGGAGGCAACAGTCAATAAACTAAATCAGCAAAATAAATAAATGGAGTTAAAAATAGTTCTTTTCTTCCATGGATACACAGAAAAGAATGTGAAACTATGATATGTATTTTTTGATTTCACACCAGTGTCTTTTTTTTTTAACATTATGCTGAAAATTGAGCATGTGGTTAACATGATTTTTAAGTTTTGAGATGCTAAATTCCCTCTAAAATTGTGATAATTGTGCAGGGACTGAAAATCAGCAGGTACTTTTTATAGCTAATTTGGCTTCCTCAGCTCCACCTTTAAAATAATAGCAGTTGCACACCTCACAGGCACTTTAAAAAAAAAAAGCATTAATGAGCTTAGTAAAGAGGTATGTGTACTCTACATAGATGAGCATCGAAGGAGGAAAAAAATCTCCATTCAAGTGGTTCAAAAGGTTACAGTAAGTCAAATTCCTGGAACATTTTAATTTGGTTAAATATTTTTGAATGAAGGATAGAGATACCTATCCTTGATGAATTCTGATATGATGAATTCTATTATTTTAAATGGCTATAATGTTTTAATTATGAAAGTTATTCTAATTTCTGAAAGGAAAATATTTAAGTAAACAACTGTAGTGTTACTAGAGATACTTCTATATTGTAGAACAGATTGCTGTGAAAACTTGGATTTTTTTATCACTTTGCAAGTCAATCTGTAACTCATGTGAAGTGGAATAAACACAGTTGCTCAGATACTTTGCAAAAAATGATGCATACATTCGTATTAAAAAAAGAAAAAGTTGGGAGACTCTATTTTGGTGGTAGAGGAGACCATGACACTGAACACTGTCTTCAACATATTAGGCACATTGAAAGCTCTGAGTATCCTTGACCAATTCAGCTTTTCTTTCTGTCCTGAGGTATAACAGCTGAACAGAGAGGTTGTGCATTCTAGTGTTGGTGTTGTGCTCTCTTTTGTATGTTTACATATACAGCCTGGTTTTTTTCTGCAGCATTTCTCAGTCAATGAACAGTCATTGCAGAGAGCTGGATTTCTACATCTAACAGTTCTGAATTGAGCTCAGTATACAGTATTGAGTACATTCCTTACTGGTTGTAGCTATGAATATATTATCTCGTGGCATAATTATCTTCAGTATTTTTGGGGAATTGAATAGGAAGATAACTATAAACCTGAGTAACAGTTCCATGCTGAAGACCATACTTCCTATGCACTCCGGTTTTGAGTAATAACCTTTTAATGCACTCGAAACAGAGTGATGACCACTGTTTCCTTGTATATTGGAATTCTTATTAAACACACCTAAAGGGACTGGAGTGTGTGGAATGAAGTCAGGCAAATTTAGAGTTCAAAGATCTTTCATATTTTCAGGTCTGAGTGGTGTTCAGATCCTGTTTTTCATCTCTGACTATCAAATGTCTCCTCTTGAATGCAAGTCCTTCAAGTGTGTCCCCCTTCAGAAGTGGGACTTGATGTGCCAAACTATGTGAAGATTCATAAGCTGTTGCTGAGCTCAGCATTTCTCTCAACAACTGACAAACACTTTTCTTTCAGAACTCCACCCATCTCTGGGAGCTCAGTTTTTTCTATTCAAAATTGTTGAGGGTTAAGAATTGTATGAGTAAAACCTTTTCAGATTCTTGCTGAGAATTTCATAGGTATCCAGTTCAGTCAAGGGGGGAAAAGCTGTGTCCAAGTGTTGGAATCTTCCCTCTGGAACCTTAACCACCTCCAGAGTTCTTGTGGCTTTGGGCCATTGCATTCACCATCCACAAGTCTTTCTCAACAGGTATCAGACTAATTTTATTTGTCTTTACCAGATCACCAACACTGAATGGATTGCGTTGCTCTGCTCAAACAAAGTTAAGCCACTTTATTGGCTTCTTTAATCTTTTAAAATTAATCACTTAGGGCAGGGACTCCAGCCGATTCCCAAACTTTACCCGTGATAGTGATCAGAGACCAGCAGTGCCTGTGTAAAATGAGTCAGTCTCTTCTGACTACTTTGGTACTCAGCCTCTGCAAACAATAGAAAATTCTGATAACTCTTAGTTAGTGTTACACATCTACCCCAGCTGTCTGCCATCTCATGAGGGGCTGGTGATGCTGTAACAAAGTACCATCTTTAAGTTGTAAGGAAATGGCATTCCTTTGGGCTTAAGGAATGTCCCAGAACTTTCTGGTAATGATTAAGTGGCTGTCAGAAAACAAATCTAATTTGTATTTTTTTCATGCAGTTTATGTAGCTTGTATTCAGAATGAATAGACAAATGTTACTCCATTTTATGTAAGTGTTCTCTTGGGTCCTATGTTGTGGTAGAATGTTTAGGGAATTATTTCTATATATTACAGAGAAATGCTATTTAGTTTCTCAGGTAGCCAAACATGTTACCTGTCACTGCAGGCAGCTTAGTCTTGAATTCATCATTTAGCAGTTACTATTAATTCTAGGCAAATTTATGACTATGTACCATTTGGTTGTAGTTCATTTGAATGTCAGTATTGAATTTATCATAGGAGTCTTCATTAAGATGTAGTTAATAAAGACTATGAACTGTGTGAGGATACTCAATTTTCTTTACCTGATGTTCTTAGAAGTGTGTTTTAATTATAGGCTATGTGTTATTATTTTGATATTTAAGTGCTGGTTGGATTGGTGGTGTTTGGAAGCTATTTTTTTACATGATAAATGTTGTCATATGAGGTATGTATTGTCAGTGAGTGCAAACACATAGCCTTGCTTTTCCAAATGTTGAAAACAAGCAGTTCTTGCTCTTTACTTCTGGTATATACCTTTTATTAGTGTAAGCTTGACTTGTTTACTTAGTCCATATGAAATCAGAACACTTCTACTGGTTAGTAGAAGTACAGTAGAATATTTTTAGGTGTTATTCCATAGGAAAAAGAAATCAGTAAAATCAGACAGAAATTATGTCTACCTGATCTCTCAGTTTTATTGGTGCATATAGGAGCTGAGAATGGATGGATGGAGAGGCTGGTACTATTTATATAACTAGAAGGAACCAGTTGATACACGGATGGAGGAGGTAGGGAGTAACTTATTTCCCTAGTAAATCATCACCTCTCATATTTCTTGAGTTACCTCCATAGCCTGCAAGCAGGAAAGGCTGATGCTATTCATTTCACAGAATCACAGAATCACCCGGGTTGGAAGGGACCTCAAGGATCATGTAGTTCCAACCCCCCTGCCTAGCAGGGCCACCAAACACACACATTCAGATCAGGTTGCCCAGGACCCCGTCCAACCTGGCCTTGAACACGTCCAAGGACGGGGCATCCACAGCCTCCCTGGGCAGCCCGTTCCAGGGCCTAACCACTCTCCTTGTAAAGAACTTCCCCCTAACATCCAACCTAAATCTTCCCTCCTTCAACTTGGATCCATTTCCCCTAGTCCTGCTGTTGTCAGCCCTTTTGAAGAGTTTACTCCCCTCGTGGGTGTAGGTTCCCTTCAGGTATTGATAGGCTGCAATGAGGTCACCCCGCAGCCTTCTCTTCTCCAGGCTGAACAAGCCCAACTCCCTCAGCCTGTCCTCGTAGGGGAGGTGCTCCAGCCCCCTGATCATCTTAGTCGCCCTCCTCTGGACCCTCTGGACATTTCATGTGGACATTAGAAATCTTCAGAAGCTTCATTCAGAGTGAGTTAAATCCTTGTGAGTTACAAAAGTAAGTTTCAGTGTAAATTAGGCCTGTATGATTAAAAAAACAAATCTCCTTTTGGAAAAAAAAAAAAAATCTCCTTTTGGAACAGTTAATTCTTTACAGTGGACTGGAGGGTCTCTGTGCTCTTAGACTGAAGGAACTTACGGCAAGTAGTAGCTTTCAAGACTGAAAAGGCTCAAACACACTAATTAAGTTTCAGACATCTTTTTTATGGTCATGTTTTGCTAACTTGGAACTGGGTCAACATCCTTTGTAAAATGTGTGCTGCAAATAATTCAGTTCCATATATATGGTATCGTTGGAGGCTGGGAGATATGATTGTTCCATTTTTGTTCTCAAGTTATTTACTGCTTCTGTTTCATAAAAAGGAATTGCACAATGGTGTGGTGTAATAAACTGAGAAGTGTCTTATTTCTTTTATTAAACAAACCAGGATTAAAAGGGTGTTTTATTGAAATATCTTGGTTGAAAAGACACTGGAGAACATTTTATCACAATGCACAATTTTCCAGTGATTGTTGTTAACAGAGGCACAATTAAATAATTTCAATCAAATTTTGCATCTGCTGGAATTGCTTCATACTCTGGTAGAACAAGGCAATTTATTAAATACACTTCTGGTTCTTGTAATGATTAAAATGTCGCTTAGGAGAGAGATCCAAGAGAAAGCCAGTTGTCATTACTCTGTATCTCTTAGTAGGTGAAGCTACAGACCTGGTTATGTAGAACTGCTTTACTGTAGAACCATAGAACGTTGAGGGACACTTGAGTGCCATCTGACTTATCGACCACACTTCCTATGAAACAGGAATGCTCTGAAGTTACTAATGGTAGGAAGCATCTAAGAAGGCAGGAAGACGGTAAAAATAACAAAGATGTCTGTCCAGTTACTTTATCAGTTACATTGTCTTTTATACTGTAGGAAAGAAAAGTAGAGGGGAATGCTCTAAATGAAGTAGAGGAAAGTCTTACAAGAAATAAATAAGTGCAAGGCGCAAAACATTTCAGTATTGATGCAGATTAATTTCATTTGAAAACAGGAGCCAAGCAGAGCTATATGCAAAACAGCTTTATTTTAATTGATTACATTGGGGTTTGGTGAACTGTGTTATGGTGAAAACTGAGATT